TAAGTAGTCTGGTGACTTTAGCTTGATGTATATTGAACATATATATTTGTATTAAATTAAGTGAATGACCACAGAATATCATGTCCTAACGCGCACAGCTTAATTAGCGTGCAGAGTGTTCTGGTCACTTTGTTTTAATGTGTATTTGAGGGAACCTTTCTGGCATACTCAATTGCTGTCTAACCATGTCAGGATTTGAGAGGTTTCACAGTCGAGTATGACTATGTATCTGCTATGTTGCCGATATACATAGCATGTTATCTGGTATAAAACATTGATATATATATATCCTGTAATGTACACATCGTTTGTTTTATGAGTTGCGAGTGTTAACTGGCAGAAACAGTCTTCATTAATTCTGGAGTAGAGTCAAGACAAAAACGTTCCATAAAGCGTACTAAGCATAACCATAGTGGCTTCGTGATAGCCTGTGCGCTGTAAGAATTGCATGAAAACCAAATTAATGTATTTACAAGGACTATAACATTTTACCAAAAATATGGAAATACAGCTTTATGATTGGGAAGAAATTCATCAAGATCAAATGTTAAGTCTGTTTTCAAAAATATTTCCATCACGATTCTGAACATGCATTTTTTAAGATAATGGTGGGTTTCCCGTGCAATGACACACAGCTGCCATTTCACATATAAACACAAATATTGTCTTTGATGTTTCTCGCCTCTTCACATGATCCTTGATGGGCCTGAGGCCGATTATAAATGATGTCAGTCCGATGACTGTAGCTGTCTATGACGAGCTTAAGTGTATCAATTATTTGAAGATACTGCAGTAACAAAAAAAACCCCAAAAATTCGTGAATAATACTGGCTTAAAATTGTACACTAATGTCTACTTTATTGAGGGCGATATTGGCACGTAAAATATACAAACATTAATTGCTTCGTTGAGTACAGGTAACACAAGCTCATGCTATCGTCCCAATATTCTCACCCACTGGCCCGTCACCACTTTTAGGGATGTGTCCTGCTCATAATGGGATAATGCTATCAGTAAATTATTTGTTAGTTCTGGCTGTAGTTCCACAAGGTTTGATCAAGATGGGTCTACGTTTTGCATGTAGCAATCAGTACATTATTCCAGGAGGCATCGACATAAACAAATTGACTGTGCAAGTTAAAACAATTGGCTCTTGCTCTACCAACAATGTTGCTAACATGGCTTCTTATGTACATTGTCTCGGGATGTTCTTATATTCAAACGCTTTTTACATTTAGAGAAGGATAACCCATATGTTAACCCACCTCTGCCTCCCTCCCAAGTCTGACGGACCAATGTTGTCTATGGGTTATAGAAAGGTCACCGAAAGGTCATTGATTAAGGTGTGGTGGGAACCCACCTATAAATATATTAAAAGTATGAATCTACTTAAACCTAATGGCTAATTTAAATAATTGTCTGAATAAGCCATTTCCAAAATGTAACAGACTTTATTAAAATTCACGATTTATTTTCAAAGTCGTAGCTTAATCATGGCATAAAGTAATACAAAGAAACACCATTGTGCACAAAGAGCAAGATAATCAAAATCATGGATCATAGGCAATTCGCTGCTGTAAGGCCTCACCAAGCCATTACCTGACTTAATAAAGTATTATTAAGCCAGGTAATGGCTTGGTGAATACCATTTATGATTAAACATTTTGTTTTATAATATTAAGTCCTGTTCACAAATCTATTTCAACAGTACTTGTATTGTTTGGTCAATTAATTTCTCATAGAGCTCTTTTAACAAAGGTGACAATGACAAAAGGTTCAGTGTTAATGCTGTGACTCCTAAATAAGAAACTTTATGATTCCTAAGGTTCCTAGTTACCCAAGGCTCTTGAGAATGATTTATTATGGCACTTATCGGAGTGGGTTCACATCCTATGGTATGCATACCCCTCAATTTTAGCAGCATTTGAATACAGGAACATCCGTATATTGCAATTTATTTTTTGGTTTACGCCAGACTAACTCTGCTTACATGATTTGTAGACTAGAATTTTTTGTTGTTGCATTTTTTAAACAAGGATATTAAGTTTCGATGTAAAGCTTTCGTGACTGCAGGGATTCATCTTCTTGGTTCTTTCGGTAAAGTCACGTATAAGGGAAATAATAAAATAATAATAAAACATTATAAAATACAATTCTCACGACGTTTCGGCCACAACGCAAGCAGCTGTCCTCAGGTGAAGAACAGGTCTGTCGGAAAGACAGCGTCTGAATGAGCACCACCAAGCTTGGCAGCGTATATTTAAGCTGGGTTAGAGGGGGAAGGGCGCCTTGACAAAGGAATTTGCATATCAAGAGGAATTTAGCATATTTATGGAAAATGCAGATATGGGATTAGTCACTACTTGTGGAATGCGTAGGAGGTGGGGGGGGGGGTCTCAAAGTCATATGCCCGTGCATTATGTAGGATTAGCAGCAACAAAGGGGAGGAAGTAACAGTAATAAAGGGAAGGAATTGTTTTATAATAAGGCGCTGCAGCAGCCAGACCACCACGTAAAAAACTAAAATATAAACTACATCAATATCATCAGTATACTAAATATACTCTCCAATATGCTGAGCTACTAACAGTAAGTCATACATTACAATTCTATGTCGCAAAAAATATTATATGCCTCCAGCTATACTTTTTCCTTACATCACACGGGTCTACCCCGTACTATATACTGCCATAGACAAACCCAACATTAAATTATATACTGCATAACTATACACCTTAGACTATACATTGTAATAATACACTATGTATTATTCTACCCATCCTACTGTATACCACACTGGTGTATATTCACTATACAATTAGGATACTATATATTACTTTATACATTATATTAAACATTACACTTTTATACTATTTATTATTATACAATCTGCTATACACTATACCATTGACCGTCGCGTGAAAGGTACTAAGAGTAAGCAATGAAATATGTCAATGGGAGAGTGGTGGTAGGAGACTTGCAGCAGAGCAAAGACTCCATTCCCTGCGGATAATACAAAAGATATACTGTATAGTCAATGACAGTGAGTGGACTGCGGTCTGAAAGTCACCGTAAACGTGAACACAATCAGTTAAGATCCGAAATGGTTGCTGAGCTAGAATCCATCTTCTCGGTTGAAATTGTCTCTGTGTTTGTATATATTAATGTCTTGGCACACAGTAATACAAATTAAGCATTAAGATTCGTAGGGTTCTTGTAAGACTAAGGTAATTTGATATTCATTTTATGCTATATTCATAATTATTTATTTTTTCCAGGAAAGCCAGTCTTCGGACTCTTTTTTAGAAGGGGCTTGCATGAGCTTTGTATTTTATGTAAGATGTTTTCAGTCAATCGATGAGTGTTTATACGTGTGGGAGGAAAAAACGGAGCACCCAGAGAAACCCAAAGCACAAGGAAGCAACAGATGGATTCAGCTGGAGATTAGTCAACTTTCTGTACTGCCTTCTCCTGGCAAGCCAGGGGTATGACACCATCTCTATGCTCATGGGTGGTTTCAAATTTGTGCAGTGATCCACCAACCCTCACTGCCTATACTTTGTGAAGGCCTTAATCCAGCAGTAGATTATGGATGATTAATCACACATATCCCGCACCTCTGATTTGCACGGTTGGCAATGTTACTTCGCATAAGAAGTTCAACATACACACACAATTATTTCATGAGTTTTGTAATTCTATGTATTCGCCTAGGACACGATGTATCACTCGACACCAATTTTATACAGAACTACATAATATTGTTTGTCGTATAAGGGAGCCAATTTAGTACATAACTACATGGTATACTTTGCAGTATAAGGGAGCCAATTTTGTACATAACTACATTGCAGTTTGTATTATAAGGGTGCCAATTTAGTACATAAGTTTGTAGCATAAGGGAGCCAGTTTAGTACAGAACTACATCGTATAGTTTGTCGAATAAGGGAGCCAATTTTGGACAGAATCACATAGTATAAAACTAGATTCAAAGCTTTCGTGACTGCAGGAATTATTTTTGGTTCTTTCGGTAAAGTCACGTAGAGAATAAAATAAATTCATAATAAAATACGTTTCGATTGCAACACAAGCAACCGTGTTGTCCGGCTCTGTATTGTGTTGCATTGTGTTTCTAAGTTAACTATGGTTTTTTTCATTCATTATTTCCTGATGACGGTTGCTTGTGTTGCAATCGAAACGTCGTACATAGTATAGTTTGTAGTATACGAGAGCCAATTTAGTACAGATCTACAAAGTATAGTTTGTAGTATAAAGGAGCCAATTTAGTACAGCACCACACAGTATAGTGTGTAGTATAAGGCAGCCAATTTAGTACAGATCTACAAAGTATAGTTTGTAGTATAAGGGAGCCAATTTAGTACATATCTAGAAAGTGTAGTTTGTAGTATAAGGGAGACAATTTAGTACAGCACTACAAAGTATAGTTTGTAGTATAAGGGAGCCAATTTAGTACAGATCTACAAAGTATAGTTTTTAGTATGAGGGAGACAATTTAGTACAGCACTACAAAGTATAGTTTGTAGTATAAGGGATCCAATTTAGTACAGCACTACAAAGTATAGTTTGTAGTATAAGGGAGCCAAGTTAGTACAGATGTACAAAGTATAGTTTGTAGTATAAGGGAGCCAATTTAGTACAGATCTACAAAGTATAGTTTGTAGTATAAGGGAGCCAATTTAGTACAGCACTACAAAGTATAACTTGTAGTATAAGGGAGCCAATTTAGTACATAGCTACATAGTATAGTTTGTAGTATAAGGGAGCTAATTTAGTACAGCACTACATAGTATAGTTTGTAGTATAAGGGAGTCTACACTCAATTTATGGCGGCCATCTTGCATGGGGCAAAACAAACGGTTCAACGTGACGTCACCCGGCATGTTCGAAGCGATGCAAGATGGCGGCAGTAATAACGCACCCGGTTGGTCGACACCTCCGAGTCCTGGTACCACGTGACGCCGCGCCGACCAATCGGCAGTGACGGTACTGGCCACCTGCGCGCCCGGGCCTCGCGCCTTTGAACGGAGAGGAAGAAGGAGGAGGGAGGCTTCGGCGTGGAGCGACCGAGCGCGCGAGTGAGCATGGTGCGTGTTCGACGGGACGTGGGGTATGCAGAGGGCCGCAAGGAGTCTCTCCTAGGCGTCCCGCACAGACGTTTCGCCTTCGTTGCGGCGCTCAAACTCCGCGTGGTTTTGAGACGCGCGGTGCCGCGTTTCGGTCCCAGGCGGCAAAGCCGAGGCCGAGTTCGGGCCTAGTTCTAGTCCCACAGGTGCAATTGCGGGGATGTGTGTTGGGGCTTGAGGTGGAATTAAGAATGGAACAATGCTTACGCGTGTTATCTTGCTGTAAGAGTCGGATTTGTGTACTCTCACGGATACACCATTGATTGCGAGTTTTTTGCGTGCATCTCGTGACTGGTGTAAGGCTGTTGGGAATTAAGGGCAAATGAATGGTGTGTGAAGGTTGGGGTTGTTTATCATGAAACACATCCGAGTCAAACACGTCTTTGTGATCAGATGTGTCACCAGAAGGCATCCTCTTCAATTGCACACTTATGATTACATAATCAAACATCGCAGGCGTAATTATAATCAGCATCAGAAACCATTGTCCGAAGCATCGCTGCAATCAGAAATATGGATATAGAACTTTTTTCGCATCGTACGTAGCCAACCCTGCTAATCGGAGGTGAGAATATCTTCGTGAACGTCAATCGGAAGCATCAAAAGCATCGTCAGAAGAATAATTGAACCCGTCATTGGACGTATAATCATAACCGTACCTAGAATGGCCACATATGTGTCTCAACCTGTAAACGCATAATCACCATGCCACAAAGCGCTCACGGGCATCATAAGGGAAACATCAATCTTATGTGTGTATTATTTTAGTAGTTAGCGTATACCACCAGTTATCCTGTAGGGTCTCTATACTCCATAATATAGGTTTTTTGGGGGGTTAGGTCGCGTAGAGGTGTCGTTAAACTCGCCGCCAACTAGTAAGGGTTGTCACGTAAACAGAACATGCCAATTCGTCACTAGTACAGCACACCGGTGTGTTGGAGACCAAATCCACAACATTTACAATCCGAGTACAACGCTTCTCTATACTGTTGACATCGTGCTATGGGGTTTCCTCATGTTCTTTTGCAGGCTAACCAGGACGGTAACAACGCGCCTGGGTCGGCTAGTGGACCTGGGCAACAGCATCCTGCTTTCTCTAACCCTCCTCCCATGGTACCGCCACCCTTTGTGAGTACAGTGTGTATGTTTATGAAATTAGCGCTTTGTTTGCCTTTAACCCTCCAACCAACACTTTCAGCCATAGTTGAAAAGAGTGAAAATGCCACAAATGTATGCCATCAGCATTACTTAACTGCATTTCCTCATTCATTTGTGGGTTCTTGTGTTTCTCTGCTGCCAATGTTTACAATTTACTCTGCTAGCAGTGTAACCTGTGCCAGTAGACTGTAAATTGAGGTTATTTTACTGTCCCTACATTAATGCACCTTATGCCAATACAGTAGTAATAATGATAATGGGAAAATATCGTCATATTTACAAGCACTCGACTCATAAAATGCATTCAAATCAGCATAGGTGAAGTGTTTTATACCAAGGCTACACCATTGTTTGTTTTCAGATGCCACCTCCGGGGATTCCTCCCTTCCCTCCGATGGGCATGCCACCGATGGGACAACGGCCCCCCAATATGCCTCCCATGCCACCTGGCATGATGCCTCCTATGATGCCACCCATTGGAGGGCCCCCACCTATGGGCCAGGTAAAAACAAAGGGCATTACAGTCCTCCAAATGCATTGTAGGACATGGAAAAATGTGACTAACTCCTTAATGGTTTTAAACAAATTTCAACATCCTCACCACCGTTTGGTTCTGATTTCCATTTTTGCCCATCAACAGATGTGTGCAGTTTACTACTACCTAATTTGCGTTTGATTGGAGAATATTGATATAAACATGGAAAGCTGGATCGTGAGGGACACAATAGTTGGAGGTTGAGAACTGTTCCTTAAATGGTATGCAAATTAATATGTTATGTGTGTATGTATGTTGAACTTCTTTCACACTGTACGTAGCCAACCGTGCTAATTGGAAATATCTAATGTACTTGAAATGCTCGTGAAATAATGCTTAATTAGTTTTCAACATGCCGATGTTTATTGAATAACACTTTGTGTATCCTCATATTTGGCAGAAATTATCTGGTAATGTGTCTTTGAAAGCTCAGTGTTGAAAGCCAAGTGTTCAGTGATTGTATACAAATCATGAATGTAGCCATTAACAGGTCACGTGATAGCAAATGTGGTGTTCTGTTGGTATTCGTCAGATGCCTGGTATGATGCCGCCTATGATGATGATGCAGGGAATGCCAAACATTCCTCCCATTGCAGCTGCGGTAAGCTTTACTTTTTTTCGTGCATAATGTTAAGTGGTTTGGTGTTCAACATAAATTAGTTTTTCTTCTTTAAAGTATATTCACTCCCGGAAGTGGAGAGTTTTTATTGTATTTATTTCATATATATTTTTATTAATTCTTAATGCATTTGAACATGTAATACTTTGGATATGATTGCCAAGTTACACCTAGGAATATTGTTTATCATGTTAGTAATATTGTTGGAGGCTTTCCTGTATAAACAATACAATGTAATTACCTAACGTTGTCTATAATTAAAGAAGTGCATAGGTCTTCACCTGTAACTTTGTTTTATTCTTCTTAGGGGTCTGTAACACCCACTGATACAAGTACTGGTAAGTAACATAAATGCATCTACTTTATGGTTGGCTAACTTTATTGAATAATTATTTAAATATACTCTAGATATTTAAAAAAATGGACATGTAATGTTAACACCATTTAAGCAAAAGCATGTTGCATTTTTTATATTTTGCTTTCACATTTACATTCAACATTTGAAGCGCCTCTTACCTGATAAAACGTTAAATGTTTGTCTCTTTTTTTTAAGGACCGGGTGCTCCAGCTGGCCAGGTCAGTGTTACATTACTTTTACAAATCGCACATGAAACAAAAAAGATTATTTAAGCCTGAAACATTTACTTTCCGTTTTACAGTATTTTAAAATTCTGCTTTCCCTCACCCAGGCTGTGAACCCTGCAGTAGCTGCAATACAGCAGTCTGCATCTGCAGGAAACTCTCCAGCACAGCAAGAGACTCAAAAAAAGGTGCTCCCGTTATTTTTAGATCAAATTGTAATTTGAGAATTAAAATTGAACGTGGGGTTTTATATTGAAATGTCATATTTTCTAAATCCACTCAGAAACACTTTATTTCAATGGTCTTTTTGCCTGTCATTTTAAAGCCAGTTATTCAACTCATTGTGATGTCTACTATGAATCTGTTTGGGACTCTCAATCATGTGGAAAATACTTTGGGCAGTTTCTGTCAGGTTTTCTTCTAGAGTTTTGCCCTCTGCTGCTGCGGTTCTTCTAGATCAGGGGTCTGCAATCTCCAGCTCTGGAGCTGCATGTGTCTTGTATTTCATGCATTGCAGCTCTTGAAATATTTCTTTTCCAAATCCGAAAAAAATTGCTTTTGTTATTTTGGTTGCTGACCCCTGTCTAGATTTAGATGTTTCCATCTCCTGATGGAAAATTAACATTGGATTGCATTTGTTAAGTTTGGGAATTGAGCATAACAGCATATTACTGCTTAAACTGTTAGGTAAGGATGTTGAATTTAGTTTGTAGTAATAATTTCTCCTTGAATATTGGTGGCAGGATCGAAATAAGGAAAATATGTAATTTGTAAAGCAGTTATTTTAATAATTCCCCCAGCAATTTTTGTCTTGGCAATGTGTTGTTTATAATTCAAAAAGCGTCATACCTTCAAACACATAAAAATAGGGATTCAGTCTCTTCTGGCCTTCTGCAGAAATCATTATGGACAGAGCACAAGTCTCCAGATGGACGGACCTATTTCTACAACAGCGACACCAAACAGTCCACCTGGGAGAAGCCCCTAGAACTCAAATCCCCTGGAGAGGTAAGAGACTGCACCTTTGTACATTAATGCTGCATTTTAACGGACAGTTTTTTGTGCATTGCCACAATATACTGAAATAACTTTTTTTACTCTGGGCACAGATGCTGGTGGCCTCATGTCCTTGGAAGGAATATAAGTCTGACACAGGCAAGCCTTACTTTTACAATGCTCAGACGAAAGAATCTCGCTGGACCAAACCCAAGGAACTTGAAGACCTGGAAAGTAAGAACATGTTAAAGAATTGTTTACATTTATAATTGGTTTGCTGAATGTTATATGCATTTATTTATTCAATAATGACTTATATTACGATATAAATAGATATCTTCCTGTGTGTGCTTCTGATTGAAGTTGCATATTTTTGTAATTGGATCAACTGACCAAATTCATTCTGGCCTCCCATTCTCACACTATCCATTTGATACTCATCTTTATAGGGATTTTTACATTTAACTGACCTAAATGAGTTTTATGTTTTGTTTGTTTCAGATATGATAAAGGCCCATGAAGATTCTGGGTAAGTGCACGGTGATTGCATTTTACTTTAAAAAAATGTGCCCAGTTTGTTCAAATATCAGCTTTACTTTGTTAAAAATGTTATAGGTGGCTTCATTTAATTTAAATTAAGATCATGCAGTAACATTTGTAAGCATTATGCTTCTTAACTTTTTGTACATACTTTGGTCAATAAAACATTTAAGAATAGGATGCGTAAAAATGCGTACTTTTTCCATTTGAATGTCTTAGTACAGTAACCTCTATCAGCCATGCTCTTCAATTTAATACTTGTGTAGAAAGGAGTTAAAGTTTTGAACCGCTGTTCATAGATTCAACACTTGTTTGATATTGTAGAGCAAATACTTAAATTGGTTATTTGCTTATTTAAAGCCTGACATCCTCACAATGTATATACCATTTGCAGTGAATAATATTGATCTTCCTCCGAGAAAATCAATATTTTATGTTATAGAGGCAAGGCTAGTTGTATATGTTTTCTAATGTTTGGCCAGCTTGCCAGTAGTCGTGCCACCATTTCAAAAGAGCTCACTCAAGAATGGCAATGTAAATTTGACAATCAAAGGATGCTGTAATTTGCATGAGATTTGCTTTTGAAGGCTACTTTTTGTCTATACATTCATTTGTGCCTGGACTGCACACATTTTTTCTGGCTTTTAAATTGCCTCGTCAGCTAGAGAAAGTGCTTGAATCTAGAAGATCGCTATGTTTTGTCTGAAAACAGCACTTGTATTCTTGCGGATGGCAATATGTTCAGGAGCTGAATGCCATTGTCTAGGTCTGCTGGCCATGAGAGGGCTTCAGGAGAGCGTTGCCTGTTGATGTTTCTGATGTGATTGATAGTACACCAGTGTCTTCAAGGAATGTCAAAACCAGAAGGTGCGATGTTTGGGTCCCGAATGAGGTGTTTATTCTGGACGTGAGCGATGTTCAACTGTATTCGCCATCGTTCTTATGGATCTTGGTGAGATTCTAGAATGGTGACAGTGTTATCCCAGAAGTGGGATTGAGACTTGAGATGGTGGTGGGGTACATATTTAAGCTTTTGGGTGATGGGTAGATTGTCTTTAGCAGGATCACATGTAAAGTCCCTTGCATTTTGCATAGTTCTTGATATGTGGTGGCAGGATATTGACCAAAACAGGGAGCCAATGGAGTGGTGTTGGTTTCAGTGTTTAAGTTATGATGCTTTTGCATTTTTTTATTGTGCATTTAGTAGTTTTGTGTAAGAGCTCCCAAACAAGGCTGAACCACTATACTCCGCCACTGAGTAAATCAGTGATTGGGCGGCAGTTCGCAGCACGTCAGCTGAGATGTCCCAGGTCGTTGCTGCAAGATTCTGTAGCAGGGCGATACTTAATTTGGTCTTTTCACAGGTATGTTTTATGTGGGGCTTGAAGATCAGAATCTCCAGCGATGGAAGTATGCCCCCAGTAGAACTAAATCAACTCTTATAGTATTGACGGTGTTCTATAGGTTTTTGTGCCCTGTGCAGCATGGGCTGTCATTTGCATATTTGCACTTGTGAGATGTAAATGACAGGTGACATTATATATGTTAAATAGTGACGAGTTGGTCCCAAGCCTTGAGGGAGGCCATTTTTCACATTTCTCTTGCGACCGCCTTTACTAACAAGGTGTACCCTGAAAGTATGGTTGCTGAGCATCGCCTCCATGAGGTGTACAGTAAAACAGCATCTGATGATTTTATCCATCTTCAGCAGCAGGCCATAATGCTAAATGGTGTCATAGGCAACGGAGAGGTGAATTGTTGCTGTTATGGTTTTCTCTTAATACTGAAAGCCAACGTCTGAGGGTGGCGAAGCAAACAATTTATTCACAGCAGCTACTGGCTGGTAAAAAATCTGACTTGTTTGGGAGGTCAGTCGGGGTCGATAATGGGGGAGGGCCTGGCAAGCATGGCACATTCCATCAGCTTGGAGTTGGAGGACAAGAGGCATGTGGGCCTGTAGCTGAAGAGTGAGTCTTGCTGCTTTCCAGGTTTCAGAATGGCGATACTTTTGCCTTGCTTCCATTCTTTCGGGATTTTGCCTATCCTGTGTATGACAGTCAAGAGGTTTGCAAGTCGTTGCAGCACTGTATAGACCCCATAGGGCTTCTCCCATTGTCTGGTTTAATGAACACTTATTTTTACTGAGACATTAATTTAAAAAGTAGGCAAGAACCTTCTGAGATGAAAACTTATTTCTAGAGGACCTTGAAAAATGGGATTCTCTTGCATAAGATTATTATGCATAGGATTATTATGCAAGCATTGTATAAGCTCTCTATTGTACAGTACTCTGAAAACACATTGGAGGTCTTGCATGGCTAGTATGATCAAATTCAGTGCGAATACCATTTTTTTTACAAGTTAATGGTTTTGAGGGGTGGATGAGTGTCACTGTGCTTCACACTGCGATGAACCCAGTGACCTGGTTTCAATTTCCAGCCATGAAAAATGTCATTGTCAAGTCATAACTGGATCGGTTCTAGGCCGCCTCTTCTCTAACCCACTAAAACCAACGTGGAGAATTATCGTCAAACAACCCCCATGTCTAACAAAATGTGGGAGGCCTTCATCTAGTATTGGATTGACAAAGGGCTGTGAATTATTATTTTTATTTAGACAAGTACTACCTGCGCATTTGCATCAAATACATGACCAGGGTGGAGGAAGGGTGGGGGGAGGCGTGACAGCGTGATGCATGAACCCGGCTTAACGCACTTGCTTGCCCACGCGCCACCTGCCAAAACATATGTAATATGGTATGAGTATAATAATAGGGTTTTTCCCTTTTTTTCTGGCAACAAAACTGAAACCTTTTTACAAGTAATCATGTGTGCATTAACCACAATACTTGTGGTCAAAATGCAAAAAAAACACACTGATAATATATGCATTGTCCTGAGACAAGGCTCAAAAGAAAGCCGTCTGGTGTGGACCAATCAGTTTCAAGGACAATGCATTTATTATCAGTGTTTTTGTTTGCATTTTGACCATAAGAATTGTGGTTAATGCACACATGATTCCTTGTAAAAAAAGTTTTCAGTTTTGTTTACAGAAAAAAAGGGGAAAAACCCCTATGATATTTTGGTACTGGCAAAGGAGGTTTAATGATAATGGTATGAGTAGTTTTGGTACAGTTGTCGACGAATTGTTTGCTATTATACCTGCCAAAAACTTCAGAGATAACAGTTCATACCAAGATCCAGTGTCAGTAAACCCTTTGACGTTTTTCTCCGTGCGCCACAGGGGGCAGATGGAGCTGCCCGTTCCAGCGGCTGTCACGACTGTGCAGGCGGCCAGCGGCACACCCGGCTCCACGGGCACAAGCTCCCCTGTGGAGAATGGTGCATCCCCCTCCGCGGCCGGAACCACATCTGCCCTGCCGTCCTCCGCAGATGGCACGCCACAGCAAGATGGTGTTTCTCTCGCTGCTGGCGTCGCAGTCACAGCCACTGCTTCTGCCAATGCCGTTGCCATGGGGAATGCCACCACAACTGTTCCCCCTGTCATGGGAACAGTTATTGGAGCGCCGACTGGAATGGTCGCCGTAATGCCTGGTGAAGTCATTCCAGGCGCAGAAGCTATTGCCGAGCAAGTGATTGGCAGGTGAGCGCTGTAAAGCCTGCATTATTGTTAAGTGCTTGTCTTGTTTTTATTCATGATGAAAAAAGTGAATGCTTGCAGGTTAACTGAGGCTGCCACCTAGTGCGATAGTTGTGGATAGGCAAGAGAAACATGAAGCAACACAAAGGCAAAGCAAGCTTCCATCAGGCACTTGTTCGATATGGTTTGTTCTTTACAAATTTTGACTTTTCTCTGCCTCCTGCTTTGGAAACTTTCAGTGTTGTGAAAGAGGATGGCAAGAAGAAAAAGGAGAAGAAAGTCTACACCTGGAACACTAAAGAAGAGGCGAGGCAGGCCTTTAAGGATCTTCTGAAAGACAAGGTAATGCCAAGACATAATGAGCAATGTTGTCACTCGGCAATGTCTTAACTCAGTTTTGTACATATGCTGAGATAATTATTTGTATTTAACATCTGAAAGACCATGCAAGGTTTTTCAGTATCAACAATTGCTTTTATGGTCCTAAAATTATGTATTTCTTATAAAGTTGATGCTTTATATAGCTGAATCTGTAGTATTGATACTAGGTTACTTGGAAATCACTGCTATAATGTATCGGTTTTCCATTGCATTTGACTGATATACAACCTGTCTGTTTCATATTTAATGTTTCAATCTCTGAATTTTCTGTATGTTCCTTTGATCACTTACAGTTTACATCATCTATCCTTGACTGGCGCAGTACATGAGATGCCGTTATGTTTTTACTTCCTATAAACTTAAAGCTATTTTGTAAAACTAGTGAAGAATCTATTACTATCTGCCTACAGTTAATTACTGTTGGGGTGCATTTTGTTCCATATTTGTTAAACATGGATGGTGATAGTGGCCAGGCTTATGTTTATTTTGGCTTTGCCAATTCATGATTTTCTATTAAAATTGGAGCATATTCCCACATGGCCAGAATAATAGTTTTGCAATTGTCATTTTTAATACCAAACCCGAAAAATGCTTGTTTTGTCCCCATTAGTCATTTGCATGCTGGATCTGCCCTCGAGCATGCTGACTTTGTTAACCATTTAGAAGTTGTGACATTTTGTAAATTGACATTTTTATTTCTTGTGGAGTAAAAAAACAAGAGTGGAATAAGTGAATTGTTCATGTTGATTCTGTCCCGTGGTTTGCAGAAAGTTCCTGCAAGTGCATCATGGGAGCAAGCCATGAAAATGATCATCAATGATCCCAGATATAGGTATGGCCTCACATTGAAACAAAATATATGCCTCTCATGTTTATTTCTTGAAGTCTGCAGTTGCCGTAACTATGGAAATAAAATAACTGCAACTTGTGTAGCAGTGTTTACCATGTGATCACAGTAATTGTAATATGAATATTAATCTCCTGTGGAACTCCTCTTATCTGGGATGTGCCCTTCATTATTATCTGAGACTTAATTACTTGTTTCGCCAGAATATTTTTTTGTCAACTTTTATTTATATTGTATTGTGATTATATTGTTGATTGCTCCTATTATCCGCAGCTACTTTGTTGATAGTAAGTGATAGTAAGTAATTGGCAAAGGGTAGAAAATGTATCCTATTCACCTTCAACTGCGGCTCGCATTACCACCACTCGCGGTTCCTGTTTGTGGCTATTTCATGAATAAGAGGAATAATGTGGAAAAATTATCCTATTCACATTTGTCCACAGTATGTTGCCCTAGATTGATAATGATGAATAATAATAGTAATGGTGATAGTACTTTTTATGTGCATGGTTGCTGGCCAGTATTCTCCTGCAGCTTTTGAGTGCAATCTGCCGTGCGTGACTTTGGTCTCCAGCTGTGCATTATTGCAGTATTTGGGCTGCACAGGATGATGAAGTAAATGTGCCGAAGGTAACAACTGCGTACATGGAGTGATGAGATTAGTTAATGTGTAGGAGTGAGTATGACTAAAGCCATAGGACTGAGAGATAGTGACGAAGTTGGGAGGCCTTCATCCAGAAGTGTGTTTAGACATTGGCTCATGATGATTGATTATTGTCGTGATGATGATTAAGGTGACAGTGACACTAGAGCAGCATCAGCTACATTTTTTCATGGCTAGGAGGCACCTGGTAGCGGTCTTGGAAGTTACTTTACTGCTATGTTTACCCATAGCCATCGTGAAAGTCAGAGGAATTGAGTGGAAGTAGCAGTAAAAATCCCTCTTCTAATCCACATATGTGGCTTTGTGTGGACCAGAGGAGTTTTTCATTAATGCAAATAATTGGTTCCATGAACAGTGCCTGCATATTGCGTTGGATAACAGGAGTTTCACTGAACTTACATTTTCTTTCACTTACGTTAAGAAAAGCTTTAATGTTTGTTGTTCATATACTTCAAGTACCAGCTGCTCAGGAGTTATAATTAGTGGTAATACAAATAAAAATAATTTTACACTAATTGCAACATTGTAATGTATTAATCATTTTCCTACAAAACTCAGTCCTCAACAATAACAATAGAGCTTACAATCATGTCTGTAACAAAATTACACAGGTGTTGTGATTATTGTCATTAAGGTTTTTTTTTTATATAAAGAAGTGTGGTTTATGAAAGATAACATGAATTAACATGTAGGTCCATTAGCCTATATGCCTTCTGAACCAATGTTTTCAATAGAATGTATGTAAGCTTGCAAACCCAGGGACCGATTTGGACGTTTAGTTTTGTTAAATAGGTTCAACTCATGTTCAGGAGCAAGATCGATTGTTGTATTACTAGATCGTGAGGGATATCAATGGATAAGAGAGGCCATCCTGCAGTGGATAGATGATGGCTCTGGGTGGGCATGCCTCTGTCTGCTTATGCATGTTTACCCCACAGCGCCCTGCCTAAGCTGAGCGAGAAGAAGCAGGCATACAACGCATACAAGACCCAGCGAGACAAGGAGGAGAAAGAGGAAGCGCGGCTCAAGGCCAAGGAGGCCAAGGATCGGTTGCAGCGTTTCCTTGAGACGCATGAGAAGCTCAACTCGTATGTGAAATACAGGTGAGCAACAAGGGTCCCAATGCAACACTTTACCGTTTTATATTACAGCTCAGGTTGAGTCTCATTGTCATGCTCAAATGAGTATTGAGTGATGCTCATTTCCACGTTTGGCCTTGAGTCAATGGTCGAAGTTCCACATTCTCATGACGGTGGCTGGTCTCTTTATGTAATCACCACTTTTAATTCTAACAATTGGTTAACCAAGTAAGGTAAGCCATTTGCAGATATGCAAGTGTCCCATTACCTTTTTTGTGATTAATAAAAATGAGGCGATCAGGAGGGTGGAGTGGGGAATGAAAAGGGAGGGTGCTGGATATGGGCTGGAGCAAAAGCAGGTGTTCAACTCTCAAGAGAAAATAGGAGTGAAAAAAAGGGTTCACTTATGGAGGCTTTCACAACCATTGAGTCAGAATGTGTTTTTTTTGGCGAGATCGTGTGGGTATGTCAATTATAAATATGCATCCTCCACAAATTTGGCATGCTGAATTCTAATTGCTGAATGAGTTTTTGTCATAATGCCAGATAAGTGTATTCTTTACATATCTGAGCTCATTGGTTGTTTTAATCACACTTTATGCTAATGCATGTGCTTGGATTAAAAAATCAATTGAATCAATACAATTGCAAAATTCTTAACAACTTCATCCGGGTTGATAGCTATAGACTAAGTGCTGCATTAAAACATTCTGAAGCGTGATGCTTATACTGTATTAAGTAATTGATCAAAATTAATGCTTGAATAGAATCATAATGCCATTAAATAATTATGTCCATTTAAGTTAAATAAATAAATCTAGTCCATCACAATCGCTGGCTCTCACAATCTCTCACAATTGCTGGCCCCCCCACCCTCTTGCCCGATGCGGCAACCCCCCTCCCTCCCCCCCTCTCGGGTCAATTTCATGCCTCATCCACAGCAGTCTGATTCTCCCACCTGAAGACGGTCGCTTGTTGTTGCGATCAAAACGTCGTGATCTATTATTTTTTCTACCTACGTGACTTTACCGAAAGAACCAAAGAGTATTAAATAAATCAGTTTAATAACAAATCTGTGACAACTAACAATTGCTAAATATCTTACCCATAATATTGTAATTATATTCGCCTAAAACAATTATACACACCCCACCAAAGGATCTTATTGTGGTGGTGGGGTTTGTGTGTTCCAATGACCCTCAAAGCTATGTCGCCTGGAGTATTTTACTCCTGGTAGGGTCTCCTTTGGCGAACAGTTCTGAGGCGGGGTTCCAGACAAAAAATAGAGTCCAAAATAAAGCTCCTCATGAATGGTTACAAAATACCAAAATCAGAGCCTTGCCCAGACAAGGGATACCAGGACACACCCCTGGAGCCAGGCCTGGGGGTGGTGTTCGCCGGCAAGCGCCTGGTGGCCGGGTGACCCACGTAACCCAGTTGGGCCCAGCCCAAAATGGCTACGTGGTGCCGTCCTGTGGGCTCATCATCCGCAGGACGAAGGGTGAGGGGCGAGTGCGATGCCAATATGGCAGGGAGAGGGATGGTCTCAGATGGATTGCACCTTGGCGATGGACACTCGTTACTGGGACGTGGAATGTCATGTCACGAGAGGAGGTGGAAAGGTACTGACTATATATAGTTGATCTCACCTCCACACACAGCATTGGCACTGGAAACAAACTTCTCAATCTGGGACGGTCTGTCTCCTATTCTGGAGTAACCCTTGGTGAGAGGCCCCGGGCAGGTGTGGGTATACTCACAAGCCCCTGGTTGGGTGCTGTTCGGCTGGAGTTTGTCCCAGTGGATGAGAGGGTCGCCTGAATGAAACTTCGGGTCTCAGAAAGGATATCTCTGACTGTTGTCTGTGTAAGTCAAAGGAATTCCCCCCCCCCTCATCTGAACCCAAACAGTGAGATGTTATTGGAATTCTGCACTCGTCACGAATGTCAATAACAAACACCATGATTGAACACAAGGATGCCCATAAGTGTACTTGGTACCAGAGCACATTGGGCCGAAGTTTAATGATTTACTTTATAGTTGTATCATCGGACCTAATGCCGTATGTTCTGGACATGCGGGTGAAGAGAAGGGCAGAGCTGTTAACTGATCACGACTTTTGTAGTAAGTTGGATCCGACGTGTGGGGCACCGACCATATAGACGTGGAAGGCCCAAACGAATAATGCGGTTTTTCTGGGAACTTTTAGCAGAACACAGAGTGGACGATGTTCAGGACCTCGATTGTGGATGCATACGTGAAAATCTGTGGCCTGAAGGCAGTTGCCTGCCATTGCGGCAACCCCAGCAGTGGGGGAAGCTGTCAAGTTGAAGGAGGAGGCTTTCCAAGCAATGCTTGGAAAAAGGTCTCCCGAATCGATTGAGAGGTACCAGCTTGTCACGAGGGTGGCAGTTGCAGCAGTCGCAGCAGTCGCTGAAGCGAAAGCCCTGGCATGGGAGGAGTTTGGAAAGTCCATGGAGACGGACTACCGGGCAGCCTCAAATATGTCCTGACAAACCATCTGATGCCTGAAGAGGGGTCGACGGGACGTGGCTCAGGCTGTTTTCAGTATGGGTGACGTAATATTGACCTCAACTAGAGAGATCGTCAAGAGTTGGAAAGAACACTTTGAGAAGGTCCTCAATCCTGTGGACATCACCTCCTTTCAGGAGGCAGTCCTGGAAACAGCTGGGGGCGGTTTTATCCTTCACCGTTTTTGAAGTCACTGACTCGGTCTAGGGCCTTTGTAGCGGTAAAGCTGTTGGGTTGGAGGAGATTCGCCCGGAGTTGTTGAAAGTGCTGGACAGTATAGGAGTGTCGTGGTTAACATGCCTCTTCAATGTTGCATGGAAGGCAGGTGCAGTACCTCTGGACTGGCAAACTGGGGTCATGGTTCCCATTTTTAAAAAGGGGGACTAGAGGGGGTGTGCTCCAACTACAGAGGAATCCCACTCCTCAGCGTCCCAGGTAAAGCCTATACCAGAGTGCTAGAGAGAAGGTTCCGCCCGGTGGTCAAGCCTCTGATTCAGGAAGAACAATGCGGATTCTGTCATGGTTGTGGAACAATTGACCAACTCTTTTCCTTCTGACAGATATTTGAGGGGGCATGGGAGTGTGCTCCAGTCGACCCTTGTTTAGTAGACTTTGAGAAAACATTTGACTGTGTTCCCCGCAATGTCTTCTGGGAGGTGCTGCGGGGGAGTATGATGTACCAGTGCCGCTTTTGTGCACTATCCGGTCCCTCTATTTCTGGAGTGAGAGCTGTCTGTATTTTTGGTGTTAAATTTAAGTTGCTCACTCTGGGTGTTGGACTCTGCTAAGGGTGCGTCTTGTTGCCACTCCTGTTTGTGATTTCATGGACAGGATGTCAAGGCGCAGCCGAGGTATGGAGAGTATCCAGTATGGGGGGGGGCATGGAGGCGGCGTCTCTGCTTTTTGCAGATCACGTTGGCCTCTTTGCCTCGTCAGTCTGTGATCTCCAACATGCACTTGAATGGTTTGATAGCGAGTGTGAAGCAGCTGGGATGAGGATCAGCACCTTCAAATCTGAGGTCATGGTTCACACGCACACGGTTTTTTCCAGATCTGTGGCATCACCTGCTGCGCTAACTGTCTGAAGCAAATGACATTTATGAGGTTTGAATTTCAACTTAGCCGCACGTACTTTCTCAAAGACCGAACGCAATCGCTGTACATGTTCGTCAAAAGTACTGCCAAAAACGATGACGTCGACCAAATAAATTAGGCATGAATCCCATTGCAAACCCGCTTGGAACAATTCCATTAATCGCTGAAAGGTGGCCGGCGCCAAATTCAATCCCATCAGACAATTGAAGTGGTAGAGCCCTTGGGGCGTGCGAAAAGCAGTTTTTGGTTTGGATTCGTCATCGAGGGCAATTGCCAAAACCCGGACAGTAAATAAAGGTTTCGAAAAAAACTGTGTGCCTGATAACGCATCTAGCGAGTCGTCCATACGAGGGGAAGGCATATGCATCCGCCACCGATATCTTATTTAACTTGCGGAAATTAATACAAAATTGTAAGTTCCCATTTTTTTCACTAGGACTATGGACGCCCCCCCCACGGACTATTGGACGGGGAAATAATATCAGCTGGCAGAATATCATCGACAGCCTGGTGTACCCGTTCCTTCTCCGCGGGGCTAAGTCTGTGGGAACTTATCCAAATTGGGGGCAAGTCGCCCGTATTGATATGATGGTGGAGGAGAGGAGTGCGCCCAATATCATATTTGCTGGTGCTAAAGACATCGGAAAAATCATATAAGAGCCGGCGCAGCTGAGCTCGCTGAACCTCTTGTCAGTACAGGGTTCTCGGAGCACAAAGATTCCAACAATGCGGAATCTGGCTCATCAGGTCTACCAACGCTTCCCGCGAACCCAGGAGCTGGCTCTGCATTATCAAAACACTGGGCCACCGAGGCGTGCGCCAGGACGGTGTCTGCCTGAATCACAACCGGCGCATGCCACGCATTAAGTACTTGTAGGAACGGCATCCGCTCGGCGGATACAATAGTCATAGCCCCCGCCAGGGAAGGAGATCGCACAACGGCGTTAGAAGGGGTTAACAGGATCCCCTCTTCTGGGCCCGGTGAAGGCAACTCTTTGCGCAATCGTAGCAGTACGATCATTTTAGAACCCACTTTAACGTTTTGGCTAGCCATCACATTTTGCGATGGCTGTCGACCAGGGGAGTTCAGAAACAGCCACCGCTGTCCCGATGGTAATTCAATACACCTCTGGTTGATGAGAATTTTCAAGGGCATCCTGCCTAGAAAATCGGTGCTCAGCAAACAGGGCACGGCCAATGTCCGTGAAACCAATATCTGCCCTTCCAAAAAGATTTCCCCAATTTCCATAGAGGCCAACATTTGACCCATTATGCCCAGACTCCCCCAATTAGCCGCCACACAAGCGCTATCCACGGGGATAAGAGGATCGGACGACGAAAGCAATGTACGAAACACAGCCTCGGAGACCATAGTCACAACGGCCCGTGTCTATCAA